GTTGTGGTTTAAATCTGTGCATATTAATTACCTAATTTGCATAATATATCATAATATGCTTTTATATTGATATCCCAAATTCTAATCACATTTCAATGAAACTTGGTATATTGATGGTATGTTACATTGTGTGCAGACCTTATTAGTTTTACATTGAAATGATTTGCATAATAATTAGTCAGGTATCAGTTTTTCCATCAATATCTCTTGTACTTAGGGACGACGTCAAAAGATCGATGTCGGATAAAAAACTTAATTCCTTTAGTTTTTTTCAACCCCCCCCCCCCCCACCACACACACACACAATGAAACTTAATTGATAAATATTGGTCATGGCGTCAGACTACATTCACCATTAAATACAAATTGATAATCGGACAGTAGTATGGCATAGCAGTTGGTTGTCTGGTGGATGTAAAAAGTCTTTACAAATGCACCTCATTTGACGCACATATTTACACTCTAACCAAACCATTTTCTTGTCTTGGATGTGTTTTTTTTCATTTTCTGTTATTTCTCTCCATGATTGGATAGAAAAAAAAAAAACGAGCTACAAATACTCATTCAAAAATAAAATTGTTTTTGTAGGATGGAAACTTTTTGAGGTCAACCCCCCCCCCCCCCCAAACTAAAGCAAATAAGTTTTTTATCCGACATCGATCTTTTGACGTCGTCCCTTATGTTATTTCAATGAATCTTGGTACATAAATACTCTAAGATAATGCAACATTGTAATTAGTTTTACGTTTATACATATCCACCGATGTGATTGATAATGAAAAACATATTGGTTATCTGATTACATGTATTATTAGACAATTTCTGATATCTCAAAAAATCAGATTTCAAATGTATTTTCTGTAAGTATTATTTTCAATAATGTGGATCACATTGTTTTCATGTTGTAAATGTATATCTTAAATAGCTGACAAATATTAGTTGCCAAGCATCTTGTTTGGAAGGCTAATTATTTTTTAATATGTTTCCAATACTCTCACATAAGAGTTCTTTCTAAGCTTTCTTTGATTCTTAATTGTCTTATGTTTTATTAATTCATAATTTGATATGTGCATGAACAATCAGAGTAATACATTTACTTGAAGTTGAGTTGTGGTCAAAAAATATGATTATTTGCTGTTTGATTATGGAATCTCAAATGTAAAGATACAAATAAAATATACGGTCATACATATTTGGTTAATATATATACATGTATATGTAAAAAATACATTACCATAATATGTAATACACCCACTCATTTAGCTAAACATAAAAAATAAATTAGTTTAAATGTTACCCTTTAAATGTCAATGAAACTACAAAGATAAATTTTAATTTAGACATGCAATATGAATATGCAATAATTCACTGCAATATAACATGTTTCACCTTGTTTGGATATTGATTGTTCACATTTTTGCTGACTCATGCATGTAGCTATAAGTAAATATCAGTTCCTCTCTGTGTTATGTTATAGAATCCCATCAAACACATCACGATTTTGGCTTTGTTTCAACTTGGGATATGTGGTAGATGAAAATCAAGCTCATAGCTTAAACAAGAATTAACTTGGATCATATTGAGACTTACACAGTGGCAACACACACACCATTACTTTTCTTTGCAATTGCTAAATGTGATGTGTTTAGAGCTACCAACAACAATGTTTTTCAACAGATTCGTGCCAGTGAGGGCGCTATATAATATGCAAGTCATAACCATAACATAACATTGTTTCCAAGTTTAAAAAAAAAAAAAACTACATGGCAGTACATTGTCACAATACATTGTGAGGTTGTGTGATAGTGCACATTTTTTTTGCTGGTTAGCAAGAATGTAAACACACACCTGCCTACAGATAACTACTATTGCCGAGACAATATAGTATTTGTTGAACAGATGTGGTAGCCGATCTGAATACAAGTCTTAGCCATCACTTTCTGCAATATTTCATTTGAATGAGTGTGTAGTGTGTGTCAGGAACAAAAAAGAATATGCAGTATCCAATAACATCAACAGCATTGAGGGCGCAGCATTCAAATAACATCAACAATAGTGCCATACACAACAATACATGTAAATGTTTCTTAAAAGCCACATCCCTAATAGAAGTCGCACCCATTATTTTTGAACAATTGAGAACGAAAAATTCATCATTTCTCATATGTGTGGATGCTCTAATATAAACCACATTCCCTCTTTTCCATTGTATAATTTTAATAGAAACTGCAGATTTTACTGAAACATACAAAATAATTTTAATTGCATATTTGCAAAGAAACATTTCTCAAATTTCACAAGGACCAATTATTATAAATTACTGCATTTATTTATCTGTAATATTCAGTTCCATAATTTGTTAGAAATTTGACACTATTACAAGTAAGTCATAATATATATAAATAGTGACAGCAAATGGCACAGCGAAAATAACTGCTTTCACTAACCAAAAATCATATATTACCATGATAGGAAATACTGTAAATAAAAATTAATATTAATGTAATAGATGGATTAGTTTGTTTATATTCCATAATACAATATAATTCAATTGACAGCTTACCTAAATGTACAATCATTTTTAAATATCAACATTAATGCAAAGTATAAGTGGTTATACTAATGGGTCAATTACAAAGCACAGAAACAACGCCAAAATGCTTTTTTTACTCAACATTGTTTTGTTTTTTTGTACATTATTTTTTCTACAGACGATATTATAAAATCACTGTGAAAATTCAGTGGCCGCAATTGACATAATATTTTGTAAAGAATCTGTCAATATATACACTTCAAAATATATAATTGAATAAAAATATAAATATATTAATCTGTATAAAAACAGGGACTTCTAAAAAAATAAAAAGCATTTAAATCTTCCTTTCACAAGTGAAAGATTCTGTAATGAGGAAGAATATTTTATTCTGTATCAATACAATATATTTGGATGGCTTACTTGGCAATAATCATATAATAATATTATTATTATTATTCGGTGCATATTGGTTTACATTATCAAA